CTTATGCGGTGCTGAGGAATCAAACCCAGGGCCTCATGCATGCAAGGCAAGCGCTCTACCACTGAGCCACCTTCCCAGCCCCAATAAAAAAATTTTTTAATTGAACGCTTGAACACCAAAAGGCATGTAGAGCCAGGGGGTTGGTGGTTCACAGCTATAATCCTGGCTACTGAGGAAGCCTGGAGGATTATAATTCCAAGCCAGCTGGCAAAGAAAACTCTGAGGTTCTATTACCAATTAACAAGCAAAATGCTGGACTAGACCCATGATGCAAATAGTAGAGCTCCTGCTGTGAGCAAGAAAACTGAGCAACAGAACAAGACCCTGAGTTCCAGCACTGGTACTGGCACAACCACAAAAAGGCACACAGCAAATGACTAATTCATCCCTTTACTGCTCACCTGGTATTTCAGTCCCATTTGTGTACAGAGACTGACCTCCATCCACATCCACCACCTGTCCAGTGATAAAGGAGGCCGCAGGGGAGAGCAGGAAGCATACCAGGGGAGAGACCTGGAAACAGAAGCACACAAATACATACATGAAAGCAAAGGCTCCTCTCTGTTTCCAGTGCTTCACATTCCCCTGCAAACCCATCTCAAATCACAAGACTGTAAGGGGAATCCTTGCTATTCCTCTACAACTGCCATCAGCGATAAGATACAGACAGCTTTCTTTGAGCACTGCTGCAGTCAGGAAAGTGACCAGCCATGAGCAACAATTCAAGACTCCCAAAGAAGTAAACATCTCTTCATTTTGGGGGGGGAGGGGTTAAATTTCTAATATGAAAAGCTGAATGCCAATGGCTTACACCTATAATCCTTAGCTACTCAATAGTCTGAGATCATGAGGTCATGGCTCAAAGCCAGCCAGGGCAGAAATGTCTGTCAGAATTATTTTATATATTTTTTTGGCCAGTCCTGAAGCTTGAACTCAGGGATGCTCTCTGTCAGATTTCTGCGATCACAGAAACATGAGTAGAATCTGAATATACAGAACAGAGTCTGTCAAAACCCATTACAGTAATAATATGTGAAAGAGCATAGAACAGCATTCAATTTTTGTAAAATAATCAGTAAATGTCACTATTTTAGGTATGCAGAGTGAATTTCTAGAATTATATATATATATAGAATTATATATATATATATATATCAAACATATTAGGAGCTAGTTATAGAATGTACAAGCACATTTTCTCCTAAAAGTTTTGTTTTTAACTTTATAGACAAGTTATAGGACCTAATTTACTTCTAAATAGGCATTTTTTAAGGCTTTTGCTGAATGTCTTTTTTCCTCAAAGATCTAAAATGCTACCTTGATATTTATTTAAACTCTCATTTGTACACAGTGCTGAATCACAAATTCATTCAGTTTTACTAATAACCTATCCCAATATCAGTGCTACACACTGTACATTAATATAACTCTATATTTTTTGTTTTGTTTTGGTTTTTGGTGGGTCATGGGCCTGAACTCTGGGCCTGGGCGCTGTCCCTCAGCTCTTCAGTTCAAGGCGAGCGCTCTACCACTTGAACCACAGCGCCACTTCCAGCTTTTTCTGCTTATGTGGTGCTGAGGAATTGAACCCAGGGCCTCATGCATGCAAGGCAAGCACTATACCACTGAGCCACCTTCCCAGCCCCTATGGTTGTTTTGGGGTTTTTTTTTTGCCAGTTCTGGGGAATGAACTTAGAGCCTAGGCACTTCTTTTGCTCAAGGCTAGCACCCTACCACTTGAGTCACAGCACCACTTCCATTTTTTTCTGTGTATATGGTACTGAGGAATCAAATCCAGAGCTTCATGCATGCAAGCACTCTACCACTAGGCCACCTTCCCAGCCCTAGAGACATGGCATCTTGAAGGGCAAATCGTCCTATTATTCTTTTTTTTTTGGTTGGTTGTGAGGCTCAAACTCTGGGCCTGGGCACTGTCCCTGAGCTCTTCAGCTCAAGGTAAGCGCTCTACCACTTGAGCCACAGCGCCACTTCCCTATTATTTTTTTAAAATATTTTTCCACGTGTGTGTGTGTGTGTGTGTGTGTGTGTGTACTCACGCTCATGCACATGCATGCATTACTATTAGGGTTTAGTTTCAGGGCCAGAGCATTGTCATTTAGCTTTTTCACTCAAGTCGGGAGCTCTATCACTTAAGCCACAACTCTACTTCCAGCTTTTTACTGGTTAATTGAAGATAAGAGTCATGATTTTCTGCCTGGGCTTGCTTAACCATGATCCTCAGATCTCAACCTCTTGATTAGCGAGGATTATAGGCATAAGCTACCAGCACCTGGCCTCAAATATTTTTCTACAATTTTAGAATCTATGTGTTAAATTCCAAAACTGTATTAAATTTATAGATCAATTTAGGGAAACTTGACAGTAATATGACATGTTTCAACTCTGGCATTTTTTTTTATTGTTCTTCAGTTTAAAAAAAGATTTAAAAAAGATTTTTTAAAAAGATTAAAAAAAATACAGCTGCCAGGCAGTGGTGGCTTATTCCTATAAACCTAGCTATTCAGAATACTGAGATGTGAGGATCCCGGTTCAAATCCAGCCTAGGCAGGAACTTCCGTGAGACTCCAGTTAACCACCAGAAAGTAGAGACTAGCCTTGAGTTGGAGAGCTGAGGGGACAGTACCCGGGCCCAGAGTTCAAGACCCACAACAGACAAAAAAAAAAAATAATAAGAAGAGCTAAGCTTACTTCTAGGTATTTTAGGTTTTTATTATTCCTATGGAAATTATGCTTGTGAAGATATGTGAAAATATGTGTGGTCCTGGAGCTTGAATTCAGGGCCGAGGCACTGTCCCTTAACATTTTAGCTGGTACTCTGCCATGTGAGCCATAGTCCTACTTCCTCCTTTTGGTGTTTACTTGAAGAAAAGAAGCTCAGGCTGGCTCTGAACTGCTATCTTTAGATCTCAGTCTCCTAAAGTAGCGAGGAACCACCAATGTCCAATTTGAAAACACTGATTTATTTATTTTTTTGTCCGTTGTGGGTCTTGAACTCTGTGCCTGGGTTCTCTCAGTTCTTCAGCTTAAGGCAAGCACTCTACCACTTGAGCCACAGCACCACATCCGGTTTTCTGGTGGTTTATTAGAGATAATGTCTCATGGACTTTCCTGCCTTGGCTGGCTTTGAACCATGATCCTCAGATCTCATCCCCCTGAGTAGCTAGGAGTACAGGCATGAGCCACCAGCACCCAGCTATTGTTGACATTTGAGAAAGATACTGATCTCTCCATACTTCAGTCAGGTTCCCTTACTAAAATTTCATGTGCAATTTTATAAAGACAAAAATCATCTGATTTGACAGGCACTGGTGACTCACACCAGTAATCCCAGATACTCAGGCTAAAATCTGAAAGTCAAGGTTCAAAGCCAGGTGGGCAGGAAAGTCTGTGAGACTCTTATCTCCAATTAACCACCAGGAAACCAGAAGTGGCTTTGTGGCTCAAAGTGATAGAGCACTAGGCTCAAGCAAAAGAGCTCAGGGACAGTGCCCATACCCTAAGTTCAAGCCCCACAAGCAACAAATAAATAAATAATCTATCTTGTTTAGGGTTCTGTGTACTAACAAATGTTATATAACAAAATAACGTAGCTGAAAAGTCATATGAAACAACAAAAGTCTGTTGTCCTTAAGTCACACTGCATTGAGTCTCAAGAAGAGTTGGCTTTTAGCAGCTGAAGCACATCAGAATATTCCCAAGAGTCCAGAAGCTCAGGAGACAGGGTTGGTGGCACTGGGAGAAATAATCTCTACCAGCCAATCAGACCACATTAAAAGGCTGATATGTTTCCTATGTATGAAAGGCAGTCATTCTAAATAATGAAAGAAATGAATATTACCTCCTCCGGAATTCCAATTCGTTTAGCTGGGATGTTCTGAAAGGCTCTTTCAAACATGCCTTGTCCCAAATCACCATAGTTACTGACAGCAGTTTGGGAATAAATTATACCCTAGGTTGAAAAATAAAGCAAGAAGATAAAGTAAGTAAAAGGCATCAGGCTGAAGTTGTAGCATTACGGTCATGTTTGCCTAGCATGCTTGAGGTAAGGACTTGGGTTTGACCCCACACTGCAAAAGAAAGCAGCAAGGAAAACACTGCACTGAGATAAAAAAAAATCAAGGTCATCCATTGGCCAATATACAAAATTACATGGTTTAAAATTTCTAATATCAGTTTTACTCAAAGTCAAAACCAACCACCATCCACAACGGTATCATCTGAATTCTCATCTACTGACTGATCGCCTCTCCCTTAAGGGCCAGCCAAGACCTGGACTTTTCATAAAAGACTTTGTTTCTGAAGAGCATACTTACATTAAGTGGACCAGTGAGGAAAATGTATTTTATCTTCTGCTATACATCCTATCTTTACAAGGAAAACTGAGCAATGCCTATGTGTCACACTTAAAGAGATGTGTGGGTTTTTTGGCTTTTCCTGTAGAATACTTTGTGGTTCTTGTTATTGGTGACCCTGAGGCAAGTCAGGCAGGTGTTCTACCATTTGAACCATACCCTCAGCTAGCTTTTTGTCAAGAGTGAAATAAAAATGAAACCTTTGGCCAGTTCGAAACCAGCCTGGGAAGGAAAGTCCATGAGAATTAACCACCAAAAAGTTAGACGTGGAATGGTAGCTCAATTGACAGAGTGCCAGCCTTGAGCATAAAGGCTCAGGGACAGCACCCAGGCCAGAGTTCAAGCCCCAGGACAAATACAAAAACGGAAACAAACCAACAAAAAACAAACTTCAAATTCAAAGTAAATAAACTTTAAAAATTTAATTGTTTAAGTATTCTTCCATTTATCTATCACTAGAGAGGAGGAAAAAAGAGTCAGCCATAAAAGAAAGTCTGTCAGTATTAATTATCCCAATTATACAATTCACAGCATTTTATTTAAGGAGGACAAAATCTCCTAAAAAAGAAGAAAATTTAGCGGGGCGCTAGTGGCTCATGCCTGTAATCCTAGCTACTCAGGAGGCTGAGATCTAAGGATCACAGTTCAAAGCCAGCCCGGGCAGGAAAGGTTGTGAAACTCTTATCTCTCCAATAAACCACCTGAAAACCGGAGATGGCACTGTGGCTTAAATGGTAGAGTGCTAGACAGCGCCCAGGATGAATTCAAGCCCCACAACTGACCAAAAAAAAGAAGAAGAAGAAGAAGAAAATTTAGACATTAAGCCTAAAAACATCTGTGGACAATGCCATTAAGAGTTTCTAAGAAATGCATGTTTGAAAGCCAGTATGTCAAGCTATCCACATTAAGAAAGGAACTGTCATTTATTTTCCCTGTAAATGTTTGAGTGAAACTTAGGGCAGGTAATAGCACACATGGAGGATCAAAGAGTTAACAAAGTTTCTGGCCATAATACCATAATTTCATATCTTTCTCTACTAATGTCAGCAAGTCAGTTCATGCTCTGAGCCACCTGGATAAAAAGATCTATAACTTTTTTTTTAGTATTATAAAATATTTTATTCTCTTAGTAATTAGAAAAGAAAGTAATTTTTGTTTACAGTTGATATTACTTTCTTTTTCTGACAGTGTATGGTTTTGTTTTATATTTTGCTAAACAATCATTGGAAAATTATGTCTTATTAACACAAATGTACTATTTAAGATTTATGGATGTGTCGTTTTTTAATCAGCATTTAAAAATACAAACTCATGGAAACAGTATGCTATCATTAGATAGATATCATAATAGATTTTACTCCTAAATCCTTATATTTTAAAATAAGTCACCACAATGTTTGAAATAATTTTTAAAATGACGATCTCTAGAGAAAGATCAAAACCACAAATTCACAGAAAGATGCTTGGCTCTGTCAAGTTAATTTTTAAAATACTCCAAATCTTGTAGACTACTTTGTATTTCCCTTAATTAATTCTTCTTGAGTAAAATAAAAAAATGTGTTTGTGGAGTTGTTTGTTTTCAATTCTTTTCTTATGATGTTTGTCAAATGTATCCTATGGACTGTGTATTACTACCAGTAAGTAAAATATTCTAAAACATATTTTTAGTTTGGTGGATGTTTGCTGCTATCAAGGCTGAAGATCTATAACTTTCATATGTCATATCTGTGGATAAGATCCATAGGTATGATAGAGCTTCAGATGGAGAGATTATTTCCACCTTAGCAACAAGCAGACATGATTGACAACGTGGGATTTTAACTGATAGCTACAGGATTAGTGAACTATTCATATAATAAGCTGTAGATTATTTCACAATAACAATTTTTTTTTTGCCAGACCTGCCTGGGGCTTGAACTCTGGGCCTGCATGCTGTCATTGAGCTTCTTTATGCCCAAGGCTAGTGTTCTACCACTTGAACCACACTGCCACTTCCAGCTTTTTTGAGTAGTTCATTGGAGATAAGAGTCTCAGAGATTATATATATATATATATATATATATATAATACTATATAATTAGTATATATTTTTAATAAATACTACCTATTATGCAGTTAATGATAAGATTAACAGCACAAATGAAATGAGAAGGACACCAATTTGTCCACAGATTTCGTATTAGAACATTTACGTACAGGGGCAACACAGTTGATCCTTACTCCACTGCTAGCCCACTCCACAGCTAAGGATTTGGTGAGGTTGTAAACACCAGCTCTGGCAGCTCCGGTATGCCTTAAAGACCCAAGAGAAACATTGTGATTTGCTTCTGTTGAATATTCTTCTCATTAGCTAAGTTAACAAGTGCTCAACTCCACAAAAATATTCTTTTAAGCGTCATTGTTGAGTCTACAATGGGGAAATAACTGGTCCTTCAATATTAAAGAGAAATCTCGGCTATCAAACAAATCTCTCACTGCATAAACAATGTCCCCCCCACAATCATGTACAGACAGCCCCAGAGTCACAGTCCCCACTAGAAGAGCCACAGATAATCTAGGCACCAAAGACTCACGCCTGTAATCCTACCTACTCAAGAAGCTGAGATCTGAGGATCAAGGTTCAAAGGCAGCCCAGGCAAAAAAGCCCATGAGACTCTATCTCTAATTAATCTGCAAAAATGTTGGACTGGGGCTGGGAAGGTGGCTCAGTGGTAGAGCGCTTGCCTTGCATGCCTGAGGCCCTGCGTTCGATTCCTCAGCACCACATAAGAAAAAAGAAAAAAGCCAGAAGTGGCGCTATGGCTGAAGTGGTAGAGCGCTAACCTTAAGCTGAAGAGCTGAGGGACAGCACCTAGGCCCAGAGTTTAGACCCCATGACCAGACCCCCCCCAAAAAAAATGTTGGACTGGAGGCATGGCTCAAGTGGTAGAGTGCCAGCCATGATAGGCAGGCCAGATATGTAAAAAAGTGTGAGAAAAAGTCAAGTGAGAGCATAAAGCTGTGGGTTCAAATTCCAGTTCTAGCACAAAAAAAGATCTACAAATGATGTTCAACCTCTTCTCTACAGCGTTTAAGATCCTGTGTGACTCCTGCTTTATGCTCGTCTGAACTTCCCTTCTGCCACCCCCCCACTTCTTCAAAAGGAATTATTTATAATTCCCCAAAGCATTTCAAATATCTGTCCATCCTCATGGAACATCTTGTCCACTTGCCTTCCTTTCTCCTCCTGTGTTAACCCAAGTTCAAGTTAACTTTTGGAATGTGTTAAGCAAATGTTGACCTCTTCCTGCTCCCAGCCTGCACACTTGCAAATACCTTTCTCAGATTACCTACATCTTGTATTCCATCTGATTCTTCTCCTGCTCCCCTCCCCACTAATTGTGTGCTCCCTAAGAATGTGGGTGTATCTAATTCATCTCAGTATTTTTCATTGTTTAACATCATTAAGGCACAAAACCCTAGCCGGGCACTGGTAGCTCACCCCTGTAATCCTAGCTACTCAGGAGGCTGAGCTCTGGGGATCGAGGCTCAAAGCCAGCCTGGCAGGAAAGCCCGTGAGACTTATCTCTAATTAATCACCAGAAAACCAGAAGTGGCGCTGTGGGTCAAGTGGTAGAGTACTTGCCTTGAGCTGAAGAGCTCAAGAACAGCACCCAGGCCAGAGTTCAAGCCCATGACCAACCAAAAAAAAAAGTACAAAACCCTAGAAAATTACTGGATAAAATTTGAGCTTATTGTTGTGAGTCATAATTTAGAAGCCCCAACAGTAAATAGATATATTTTTAATCTATATGTATGTTTCATGTCCACAGATAAATAATACATACTCTTAGCATAAGTATGCCTACATGTTATTTGGGACATACTTACACTAAAAATTATTTAACCAGGCATCCTGGTTTTTCCTCCTGTCATAGTAAATATGACAATCTTAATCTGAATGAATATGTTTCAAAAGTACTTTTTTTTTTTTTTTTGGCCAGTCCAAGGGCTTGAACTCAGGGCCTAGGCGCTGTCCCTGAGCTTCTTTTGCTCAAAGCTAGCACTCTACCACTTGAGCCACAGCGCCACTTCCAGCTTTTTCTGTGTATATGGTATTGAGGAATTGAACCCAGGGCTTCATGCTTGCTAGGCAAGCACTCTACCACTAATCCACATTCCCAGCCCCTCCAAAGAACATTTTTAAAGTCCAAACAAAAGTAAATGTAAATGTTGAGGTCTCACTCATTAAAGGGGTGAGTCATACTGAGTAAAGGAAACTTCCCTACCAGCTCTTCCCTACTCAGAAGATAAAATCTAACAACAGGAAGAATAAAAGTATAAAATGCTTACGAAAAGCCTGGAAATCCATTTTTAAGAAGAACAATGATATTCACAATAGCCCCTCCGTGCTCTTTCATCCAGAAACTGTAAGCTGTGGAATACAGACAAATGACAATAATATTAGTGTCCTTTCTCTTCCCTGACATCTGTTATAGCACAATCTCTATCTGTCACATGCTAGATTTTAATTTATGTCGCCTTTATTTTTATAAAAAGCCTGACTGTGGCTTGGCATAATTTACACATCAGAATTTTTTGGGGGGTGGGGGAGTCCGGTCATAGGGCCTGAACTCTGGGCCTGGGCTCTGTCCCTCAGCTCTTCAGCTCAAGGCTAGTGCTCTACCACTTGAGCCACAGCGCCACTTCCAGCTTTTTTCATTTTGCTTATGTGGTACTGAGGAATCAAACTCAGGGCCTCAGGCATGCAAGGTAAGCGCTCTACCACTGAGCCACCTTCCCAGCCCAACACATCAGAAATTTTTTTTTTTTGGGTCCGGTCATGGGGCCTGAACTCTGGGCCTGGGTGCTGTCCCTCAGCTCTTCAGCTCAAGGCTAGCGCTCTACCACTTGAGCCACAGCGCCACTTCCAGCTTTTTTCTTATGTGGTGCTGAGGAATCGAACCCAGGGCCTCGAGCATGCAAGGCAAGTGCTCTACCACTGAGCCACCTTCCCAGCCCAACATCAGAAAATTTTTATACTTAATTTCCCTATAACTCCCCCGCCCCGCCTCCCTCTCCCCCCACTCCAATACTGAGATTGAACTCAGACTTGCTTAGCTTGGCCACTCAGAAAGTGTTCTACCACTTGAGCCATGCATTTTGGTGGCTATTCTGGAGACTGATATCTGGATTTTCTGCTGAGGCTGGCTCCAAACTGTGATCCTCTGGATCTCAGTCTCCTGAATAGCTAGGATGTATATACATGCCTTTTTTTTTTCTGGTCCTGGGGCTTGAACTGGGCACTGTCCCTGAGCTTCTCTTTGCTCAATACTAGCACTCTACTACTTGAGCCACAGCACCACTTCTGGATTTTTCTGTTTATGTGGTACTGAGGAATCAAACCCAGGACTTCATGCATGCTAGGCAAGCACCCTACAACTAAGTCACATTCCCAGCCCTCATCTTATTTTTTGATTGTAGCAAGTCTACTGAGGGTGCTGTGTTACCTTGTTGGGGTTATGATATGGACTTCCCTAATGATCAATGATGATGATGTACACATCTGTTCTTAAGCCCAGTACCATACTGTCTTAAAATCAAGAAGTAGCTTTGAAATCAAGAGATACAAGCCTTGGGGCTGGGAAGGTGGCTCAGTGGTAGAGCGCTTGCCTTGCATGCAAGAGGCCCTGGGTTCGATTCCTCAGCACCACATAAACAAAAAGAAAAAAGCCGGAAATGGCGCTGTGGCTCTAATGGTAGAGCGCTAGCCTTGAGCTGAAGAGCTGAGGGACAGTGCCCAGGCCCAGAGTTCAGGCCCCACAACCGCCCCCCCCCAAAAAAAAAGAGATACAAGCCTCAAAACTGTTCTGGCGATTCTGAGGCTTTTATGTTTCCATAGGTATTTTAGGATCAGCTTGTTAATTTCTGCAAAAGTTGACAGGAATTGTATTCATTCTGTAAATCAATTTGGGAAGAGCTACCATCTTAACAATATTGATTCTTTCAATCCACAGCACAATACCTATACATTGTTTAAATTTTTAATTTTTCTCTTTGTTTTTTTGAAGTTTTCGGCATATAGATCTTACACATCTTTTGTTAATCCCCTTCTTAAATGGTTTATTCTTTGTGAAGCATTTATGCTATTCATTCAAAACAAGATAATGATAGAGATGTACTCCAGACAGTCTTTAATAAAAATATCCTCTTTCTATTGATATAAGTCATGATGCTTGAACTCAGGACCTGGATACTGTCCCAGTCCTTGAGCTCTTTTGTTCAAAGCTAGTGCTCTACCACTTTGAACCACAGTTTTCTGGTGGTTAACTGGAGATAAGAGTCTCTCTCATGGACTTTCCTTCTCAGGCTGTTTGGAACTGCAACCCTCAGATCTCAGCCTCCTGAGCAGCCAGAATTATAGGCATGAGCCACCAGTGCCCAGTGAAATATGAATCTTAGAATTAGAAGATGAAGGAAAACTTGATATCTAGTTCTGTTATACACTACAGAAAAAAATAAGAAAACTTGGTCATTACTTAATGGTTCCCTGTGAATTCATACCAATTCATAAAAATAACAGAAAAAAAAGAAGGTAAGTTCTGGAAAAGACACACATATATTATTTTTAATTCTAAGACAATTTTTTCATTATCTTTATATTGGTGAATTTACAGTCTCTATAGTTGGTGGAATCTTACAATTATAAATATCATTTTTAATTTTTAGAATACAGTGGTTGTGTTTAGACAATATAGTATATTACAAAATACTCAGGAGGATAATTTGATAAATCATAAGATAAAGCTTGCAGGATGCTGGTAGTTCTCAGCTATAATCCTATCTACTCAGGAGGCTGAAATCTGAGAATCAGGGGTTGAAGCCAGCCCAGATAGGAAAGTCCATGAAACTCTAATCTCCAACTAATCACCAAATATCCAGAAGTGGAATTGTGGCTCAAGTGGCAGAATGTCAGCCTGCAGTAAAAAAGCTAAGGGACAGCAGCTAGTACTTGAATTCAAGCCCCAGTATAGGCACAAAATAAACAAATAAGTACTCATATCACCACAAAGTAAAAAGAATACAAAGTTTGATACACTGTCTAAATCAATGTTATGAAATATGTTAATAAATTAAAAAAGAAGGCCAGGTGCTGGTGGTTCATATCTATAATCCTACCTACTTAAAAGATTGAAATCTAAGAACCTAGGTGTAAAACTAGCCTAAGCAAACAAACCTGAGAGATGCTTATCTCCGATTAACCATAGAGAGGATGGAAATGCAGCTGTAGGCTCAAATGGTAGAGTACTAACTTTTTTTTTTCGGTTGTGGGGCTTGAACTCTGGGCCTGGGCACTGTCCCTCAGCTCTTCAGCTCAAGGCAAGCACTCTACCACTTGAGCCATAGTGCTACTTCTGGTTTTCCAGTGGTTTATTGGAGATAAGAGTCTCATGAACTTTCCTGCCTGAGCTGGCTTTGAACCATGATCCTCAGATCGCAGTCTCCTGCATAGCTAGGATTACAGGCGTGAGCCACCAGCACCCAGCTTAGAGTGTTAGCTTTGAGTAAAAGGCCAAGTGAGCTTGTGAGGCTCAGAGTTCATGCCCTGGTATGGACATACATGTACACACAGAATTAAAAAGAAAATGGATTTTTTTAAATCAGGTAAAATGAAAGAAACATTTAAAAATGCAATGTATGATTTTTGATAGAATACTGGATAAAAAATGAATGGGGGTTAAATATGAATGACAGGCTTCTGAGTCCCCCATTGATGCTCATTCAACATTCTCAATGACCTCATAGAGCTCAATAAGGCAAGTTGGTTTCTGCAGCTTTTATGACACGCACCTGCTTTACACATGTAGAAGGTGCCAGTCAGATTGGTTTCAATCACAGCATTCCATCCCTTTGAACTGATATACTCAGTAGGAGACAGGAACTGGCCTCCTCCATTGTTTACCAAGAAATTGATCTTACCATAAACAGCTAAAGTTGATCTCATCAAATTATCCACCTGACAAGAAAAAAAAATTAAAAGTCAAAGTAAGGTTACTAAAAGTCCAAAGTTTAAGGTGGGCACAGGTGGCTCTGGCCTCTAATACTAGCTGCTTAGGAGGCTGACATCTGAAGATTAAGATTTAAAGCCAGCCCAGGCAAGAAACTCAGTGAGTCTTTCATCTCCAGTTCATCATCAAAAAGCCAGAAGTGGAGCTGTAGCTCAGGTGGTAGAGTGCTAGTCTTGAGCACCAAAACTCAGTGACAGTGTTCAGACGTTGAGTTCAAGCCACAGCCCCAGAAAAAAAAAAACAGAACAAACAAAAGTCCAAAGTTTAATAACCTACCTTGCTAATTGGACCAGTCACTTATTCTAGAACTGAAACAGAAACTGAGAGGCATAACCAATGAACAGGAAGTCACAATGCACAAACCTAAAATTCTGATACCATGAATAATTTCCCAATATTTAATACTCATATATAAAGGTAAAATTGCAATTCTGATGACAAGATTTATCCAAGGGCCTGAATCACTGCTAAGTATGGTATCTGTTGTACTAATTTATAAACACTTCAAAATACAGTGAAGAAATTGGGCAAAATTAACATTAAGAAATGCCTTAAACAGTTTATAGAGTTTCTTCAAAAAATGAAACATAGAAATACCCTATGACACAGTCATACCACTCCTAGGCATCTACCCAGAGCAATACAAGTCAGGATATGGTAAAGATACAATCCATGTTCAATGCTTCACTGTTCACAACAGCCAAGTTATAGAAACATCCCAGATGCCCTACAACAGATGAGTGGATCAAGAAGATGTGGTACATATACACAATGGAATTTTACTCCTCTAATTAAGTGAAATAAGCCAGACTCATAGAGACAAAGAACACATTTTCTCTCATAGGTGGAAACTAGATCTAAAATATAAATAGGCATGATAACATAAACAGGGCTACCTGAAAATGAACTGACTAAAGGGGGGTATACTTAGGGAGGAGTCCAAAAGCATTACTTCTCACCTAAAGTACTATTTCTTTTCTCCCTCTCCCTTTCCCCCTCCCCTTCCTCTCCCCCTTCCCCTCCCTACCTTTCTCTCTTCCCCGGAATCCTGGGGCTTGAACTCAGGGTCTGGCCACTGTCTCTGAGCCTCTTTGTATTCTAGGTTAGCACTCTACCATTTGAGCCACAGCAACACTTGTGGCATTTTCTGAGTAGTTTATTGGAGATAAGAGTCTCATGAACTTTCCTGCCCTGCCAGGCTTTGAACCATGATGCTCAGATCATAGCCTGCTGAATAGCTAGGATTACAGGCGTGAGCCACCAGCGCCTGGCTCTAAAGTACTATTTCTCAAAATGAACACTAGGAAGTGGAAACATGGGTTTTTTGATGGAGGAAGGGATGCAAAAGAGTGGGTAAATGCATTGTATTCGATGTACATTAGGTAAAAAATGAATTATGTGATTTGTGGGTAGGAACCAGAAGGGAAAAATGGGGGAGAACAAAGGAAAGGGTGACATTGACCAATAAGCATTTGTACTCATAACCTACCTAATTTATGGGATTAAAACCCCTTTGCACAGCTCCTTAAAAATAACAATACAAAGAAAGAAATGCCTTAACAGACAAAAGACCATGTCATGTCTTAGTCCCTGTCTGCTTCCCTCCCACTCCTTTCTCCTGAGATCACCAGTTCAAAAAATCACAGGAATCTCCTTACAGGGAAACCGAAACAAAAACAAAACAAAAAAAAAAGTAATAAATAAATGATACAGATATAGTGGTGTTACCTCCTCTTCTTTCCGGATATTGCACTGTATGGGAGTGATCTGAGTCTGGCTATTGGGAGGCAGGGTCGCCCTCAGTTCATCTGCAGCAGAGTTTAATCTGTCAAGCTTCCGAGAAGCAATGACCACATTACATCCTAGGGAGAGAAAGAAAAACAAAAAGCCAGAGAACAAGTGAATAGGCTTTCACGAGCTACTCAGAGTCCAACAATAAGAGAAAAAAAAATGTGTGTTCCTGAAAAGGAAAGGAAAACAAAAAAAAAGATGAATTAGTACTGTGTTTATCATGAAACAACTAAAACACTGCATGGCATACAAGCAACAGTGCATGCCAAAGCCTATTGGACATCCTGTCGCATTGAACTGAAAATGGGTAGTCATCTCTGAGAAAGGAGAAACACACATGAACTCTATGTCCACGCAGCTTATTTTTGGGAGAGAGCTATAAGACTGCAGCCCTGAAGTTTTCCTGGGTGGAAGAGAACAGCAAGGCTGGTTCAAGAGGGTATAGACAGATATGAAAGAGAGATCTGCAGAGTCCCCTTGAATTTTCACCCAAAGTGTTATGTTGTTTTTTTGTTGTTGTTGTTGGTTGTGGGTCTTGAACTCTGGGCCTGGGCGCTGTCCCTCAACTCTTCAGCTCAAGGCAAGTGCTCTACCTCTTGAGCCACAGCGCCACCTCCAGTTTTCTGAGTTCACCCAAAGTTCTGATCAGTACCTAGAGGTTAATGAACAGACTGAGGAAAAAAATCACTCAAAACCCTGCATTCACACAGAGTTAGGAATAGTTAGTGTGCCAAAAAGATAAAAGGGCTTTCCCTGATTAAAGGGTACAACTTCAGAAGTGGGGCAAAGTTAGAAATGGACTAAAGGTTACTCAGGTAAACACTTAATTTAAAAGCATGCTTTCAGAACATCAACCTATTTCCAAGTAATTGCCTCAGAAAGAGACAAAAAGAGAGAGGCAGAGAGAAGGAAGGAAGGAGTGCAGCAAGCACAAAAGTATAAGAACATAAAAGTAGTAAGTACCCAAGAAAGAAAACAAGATAGGAAGGAAGGAAGGAAGGAAGGAAGGAAGGAAGGAATTATCTTTTTGGTTTTATAATTTTATCATTTATAATTTATCATTTACAACTTTATCACTGCACTAAAGTCATATCATTTTACTATCTTTTCCATTAATTAATTTATACATAGGTCTTGCCATGAGGCCCAAGCCAATGTTCCACTTTCAACTTTCTGCTTCAGTTTCCAGGCTTCTGGATTTCACTACTCCTGGAAATTAATTGTACCTACTTATGGGATATATGATGCTTTAATATCAGTATACCATGGAATGATCAAATTAAGCTAATCATTATATCATCTTCCATACTTAAACATTTCTTTGTGGTAAGAACAGTTAAAAATCACACTGAGCCGGGCGCCGGTGGCTCACACCTGTAATCTTAGCTACTCAGGAGGCTGAGATCTGAGGATCATGGTTCAAAGCCAGCCGGAGCAGGAAAGTCCATGAGACTCTTATCTCTAATAAACCACTAGAAAACCAGAAGTGGAGCTGTGACTCAAGCAGTAGAGCGCTCGCCATGAGCTGAAGAGCTCAGGGACAGGGCCCAAGCCCAGAGGTCAAGCCCCACGACCAAAAAAAAAAAAAAAATCCACACTGGGACTAACAATGTGGCTTAGTAATAGAGTGCTTACCTAACATGCATGAGGCTCTGGGTTTGATTCCTTAGTCACTGTTATTAGTCACCCTGCTATGCAATAAATTATCAGAATTTAATCCTCCTGTTTTACTGAAACGTGATGGCTTTTGCCTAACATCACCCCAGTAAAACTATCTTGGTTTAGTTCTACTTTTTGTTTTATACTTCCTTATACATCCATAACTGACAGAAAATTAATCTATAATGCTTTGACTGAATAGTTTTAAAAATTAAGGAATGCTTCACAATTTGATTATTCAGTGTGCTTTGCATGGTATCAGCTTGCACCATTTTTTCTATGGCACCTCAATGTATGTAAAGCTGGGACCCCTTGTAAACTACTAAGACATTCTTGCCTTCTATGTAAAATGGCAAAATAGCATGGAAAGAAAGATATGACATGGCAAATATGTCACTAGCATGAAGCTAACAAAAGAGATGAATTGGAAAACCATAAACAAGTAATCCACATTAAGGAAGCAAACAAAAGTGAAGGGGACAGCAGAACACAGGAGCAAACAACACGACAGATTCAGATTCAACACTACTGACAATCACATTACATGCAAATGCCCCACTTCTAGATGCAGATTGCCAGACTGCGCAAAAAAGCATGGCTCAGGCTGGGAAGGTGGCTCAGTGGTGGAGTGCTTGACTCCCATGCATGAGGCCCTGGGTTTGATTCCTCAGTAACATATAAGCAGAAAAAGCCAGAAGTGGTGCTGTGGCTCAAGTGGTGGAATGCTACCCTTGAGCTGAAGAGCTGAGGGACAGCGCCCAGGCCCAGAGTTCAGGCCCCACAACCAACAACAACAAAAAGCATGACTCAAGTATATTTTAGTTGACATTACATTTTGATACAAAAAGCCTCATTGTAGTACACTTTACACATCATGAAATCCATATACTTTAAGTGTACAATCTAATGATTGTAAGACAATGATGCAACAATTCTGCTTTTGAATCTGTTTAAATCATCACCACCCCTTTCCTTTTTTTATTCATTTGAAATCCAATCCATCACAGGCAAACACAAAGCTATCTATGCCTACTGATTTTGTTTTTACCTTTTTAAAATATTTCACAAAAATCAAACAACACAATACATGGTCTTCTGTGTCTGGCTTCTCCATTTAGAATGATGTTTGTGAGATTCACCATATACACTAAGAGTTCCTTCTTATTGCTATGTAAGCAGTCCACTGTACATATATGCTATGCTTTCTTTATACATTTCTGCTGATAAACATTTGGGTTGTTACCAATGTGAGATGATAATAAATACAAATCTTTGTGTGGACAAATGTTATTTCCCTTGAATAGATACTGTGAATGAAATGACTGGATCTCATTAGTTTAACTTTTTCAAGTTTATAGTACTTCTCAAAACATAGAAACAAGCCAAGTACCTATCATCAAATGAACAGATAAACTCTAGTATATCTATACAACAGACTATCACTGAGGAGGAGGAGGAGGAGTCAATAATAATAATAATAATAGGAGATGGAGGCATGGCTAAAATGGTAGAACACAAACCAAGGAGTAAAAGTGTCAGATCAAGAGGTGCTTTGTACAACTACTTAAAGAATTATATATATATATATATATATATATATTTTTTTTTTTTTTTTTAAAGCACGGGGGCTGGGAAGGTGGCTCAGTGGTAGAGTGCTTGCCTTGCATGCATGAGGCCCTGGGTTCGATTCCTTAGTACCACATAAGCAGAAAAAGCCAGAAGTGGCACCGTGGCTCAAGTGGTAGAGCGCTAGCCTTGAGCTGAAGAGTTGAGGGACAGCACCCAGGCTCAGAACTCAGGCCCCACAACCAGGGGCGGGGAAGCCAGGCACTGGTGGCTCACACCTGTAATCCTAGTTACTCAGGTGGCTGAGATCTAAGGACTGCAGTTCTAAGCTAGCCCAGGCAGAAAAGTCTGTGAGACTCTGATCTCCAATTAACCACCAGAAAACTGGAAGTGGAGTTGTGTTTCAAGTTCTAGCCTCGAGCAGAAATGCTAACTGACCATGAAATGGGAGCAAGGGACAACAAAAGAAACAAGAAGAAAGATCCCTGTTAGGTAAGGACAAAAGAATGAGAAAATAAGGATGAACCACCAAATTGTTGGTGCTGCAACCTTATAAGAGCTTTCTAATTCAAGGCTAGTGTCTACCAATGGAGCCACAGCTCGACCTCTGGCTTGTTGGTGGTTAATTGGAGGTACAAGCCTCATGGAGTAAGTGCTCAGCTAAGAGCTCTTCTTTCTTTTCTTCCTCTTCCTCCTCCTCCTCTTCCTTCTTTTTCTTTTTGTGTTTACTGTGTGTGGTCCAGAGTGGTTATGAGTGGTTATTCTCCTGCTACACCTCCAGAGTTCAGGGATTACAAGCATGTAAATACTTAAAATATAATAACACTATTTGTCTCATGTCAATATTTCTCCATCTATCTTTAAACTTTACATTTTAAAACTCATTGAAGATTTAGATCTTCATTACAAATTAGTTTTATATCTGGGCGCTGGTAGCTCATACCTGTAATTCTAGCTAGTCAGGAGTTTGAGATCTGATGATGGCAGTTTGAAGCCAACCTCAGCAGAAAAGTCTAAAAGCCAGAAGCAGAGCTGAGTTTCAAAGTGGTAAACACCAGCCTTGAGTGAAAATATGAGGTGTAGCTCCAAATTCCTGGGTTCAAGCCTCAGTACCGGCACAGACACACACAAATGAGTTTTAAAAATTTAACTATTTCTCCCTTTGTAGCTTCTTTCCCTGTGTTTGTGTATATAAGGCACTTCCTTCCCTCAAGTAAGATATTCACTATATTTCTTGCTATAGTTATGACAAGAAGTGTGAGCAGACAGTAGGATGGGAGCCTCTCAATGAGGGAAGCTTTCCCAGTTAAATTCAGTCTCCTATTTGGGGGGATTGGGCAACATTTAGAAGGGATTAACTTAAACTGCACAGCACAGTTTCACAGGTCTGTTTATTACCTACCTCGGGGCATAGTATCATTGGCTTTAAGCCATGATTTGTCAGGAAGAACTCTCCCTTTCTCGGATAGTAATTTTAGTCACTTCTATAGTCCCCTCTAGCTTTCCCAACAACCCTGTCCCGGCTTTACCAGCGTCCCCTGGCTCTTGAACTAGATCCCCCTCCTACCCCCACTCCCCCCACCCCCCTACCCCCTGCCAACTAGGTCTCTGCAGACCCTGGCTCTAAGGTGCCCAGGCCCAACATACCCAAGTGCAGGAGCTCCTTGGAGATGGCTTTTCCGATGCCCGTGGCCCCGCCGGTAACGATGGCCACTTTGTTCTGCAGCAGTCCAGCCGCCAAGCAGCTGTTGCCTTTGACCCAAGAGCCCATCACCGCCCAGGAACGTCTGAGTGAGCTTGCCTAACGCAGGGCAATTATCCATCTCCTGAGCAGTCTCCCGAGGCTGCCAGGACTCCAGTGTGGGGGTGTGGCTAAACGCACACGTGAGCAGCCATGCCACGCCCCGTCGCTCCGGGCCCCGCCCATTGGCCCCGCCCCCGCTGCGCCGCTCTGCATCCTCCCCAGGCTGGACCGCACTATGCCACCGCCTCCCGCTGCCGTCCGCATCCTCCGCCGGCGTGGGTCCTCGGGCACCCGTGGGTGAGATTCCCGTTCGCTTTTAAATTATATTCTCTGGGTGCCGTGGGGAGGGGGAAGGAAGATTAGATAGATAGATAGATACATAGATAGATAGATACATAGACAGACAGACAGACAGACAGACAGCGAGCATGTCTGTTTTGTAAAGCCAGCCCTTAGGGCCATAGCAATCACGGTTAATTAAAATTAAATCTCCAGCGCGTCTGGAAAGAGAAAGACGGCTCTTGCTGCACCCGCCGGCTGCAGACGTCAGCGGCTGGGGCTCCAGCTGCTATGTGCTGGGAAGCGGGGGGGGGGGGGGGGGGGGGGGGGGGGGGGGGGACAAGAGATGGGCTAGGCTGGGGAGAGGGGCGCCAGAAATCCAGTTTCCAGATCCCTGCATCTCCAGGGAGGCAGCCTAGGGAAAGGTGTAAGGTGAGAAAGGAGCTACGGTTGCAGTTACTCACATAGGTAATAAAAATTGTATTTTTAAAAATACACTGGAGCCCTCTCCCACCCCCATCTCCCGCGCCCCACCCAGGAATGGAGGAACGGAGCAACCTTGGCTGGATTTGAGATCTCATAGGTTTCAGCTGGGCCACATAACAAGTCAAAAAGAGGACCATTCATTGGAGGATGCCATGTTTCCTGCACGACCCCTCTGCAGGTTTTCTGTTTGAGATCTGTCTTCTAGTTCATTCTTTATGCAAAAATAAATAAAGTCGAACCTGCTGAGAGAATGGGGGAAATTTCCCATCGATGACTTGACATTCAGTTAACAGGATGTATTAATTCAGATTCTGCCACTTTTGTCTTACAAATTTGATAGATCTAGGGATTGTGTCAGGGAATATTTGTCATGTGCTATGGACTTAATCCAGGCAGGATGCTGTTTCTTACTATGTTGCAAGAGGGCCATATTTTCCCCTGACAAGTATTAATGCAAAAGGATTTTTTGTTTTGTTTTTCTGGGTGGTGAGGCCTGAACTCTGAGCCTGGGCACTGTCCCTCAGCTCTTCAGCTCAAGGTTAGCTCTTTACCACTTGAGCCACAGCACCACTTCCAGCTTTTTCTGCTTATGTGGTGTTGAGGACTCTAACCCAGGGTCTCATGCATGCCATACAAGCACTCTACAACTGAGCCATCTTCCCAACCCCTATGCAAAAGTTTTGTTGTTGTTGTTGTTTTGTTTGTTTGTTTGTTTGTTTTTGGGTCCGGTTGTGGGCCTGAACTCTGGGCCTGGGCACTGTCCCTCAGCTCTTCAGCTCAAGGCTAGTGCTCTACCATTTGAGCTACAGTGCCACTTCTGGCTGGTTTTTTTTGCTTATGTGCTGCTGAGGAATCGAACCCAGGGCCTATGCATGCAAGGCAAGTGCTTTACCACTGAGCCACCTTCCCAGCCCCAAAAGTTTTTTTTAAAGCCATTTCTTCCATTATTTTTTGGTTTGCTTGGCTCCATCACTTAAAAATGCACAAAGTGAATTGGAAATAGAGCTAGTAGAGAGTGGAGCAGACATCATTTCTAACCTGGTCCTTCCTACCAGCAAATCTGTGCAGTTCTTAGAGTCTCTGTTCTTCCAAGTTCCTTGCCACTTCTTCAGCCTTCCTTTATAAACTCTTCCCTTCTATCCTAGTTGCTGACAGATTCTAGTCAACAGTCATTAGAGAAAGAAAGAACGCCCTTCTGGTTTCCATTGACTAGATGAGGAGAAGGGGGTGAGAAATTACTAACACTTCTACTTTAGTCTGTTAAATACTTAGAACAAAATCTGAAAAAAAAATTACATCACCATAACCACTTTTTGTTGGTTGGTTGGTTGGTTAGTTGGTTGTGGGGCTTAAAGTTAGGGCCTGAGCTCTGTCCCTGAGCTTTTTGCTCAAGGCTAGTACTCTACCACTTTGAGGCACAGTGCCACTTTCTGGTGGTTAATTGGAGATAAGAGTTTTACAGCCTTTCCTGCCCAGGTTGGCTTTGAACCATGATCCTCAGATTTCAGTCTCCTGAATAGCTAGGATTAGGTGGCGTAAGCCACCAGCACCTTGCTAACCATTAAAAATGAATAAATAAAGTTCAAAGTATCATTGCAGAAAAAAATAGAATTCCTAGTACTTTGATCCCAATGGCAAAGTGGTTTTACTTGGTTTTGTACTTTGTGGTACTAAGGACCAAACCCAGGAGCCTGCACATTCTAGGCAAGCACTCCACCACTCAGCTAAACTCCCACTCCCAAATATATTATTTTTAAACAGAAAAAGAAATGTTGACTTCAACTCTAAGGTGTATTTTAATCTAGAAAAGTCCATACTTTCTTTCCTGGGTATAGAAGCATTTTAAATTTCCTTGAAGAGGACTTAATTGAAAGTATTATGTTCAGCTGGAAATGGTGCTGTGGCTCAAGTGGTAGAACACTAGCCTTGAGCTGAAGAGCTTAGGGCCAAGCTCCAGGACACACACACACACACCCTCAAGAAAGTATTGTGTTCAATTGAGAGATGCCAAGGTAAATCAATAGAGGCCTGGTTGCAACCATAGCCATGTGGCCACTAAGTGATCCGAGAGGATTCTGAAGTTTTCCAGTGACTGGGGACTGAAAGCTAGTCATGTCTCTGCTTCATGGAAATTTAGGATAAATTAGAATGGTCATTTTCCCAATTCAGGTAGGATGTGTGATTCAGAGGTGAAATTCCTTCAAGAGATATTTTGTTTAATGCAAGGAGACTTTGTCTCCCTGTTTGTACCTTTGACCTTGGAGTTGGAAACTGCTAAGCCCCTACCCCACCTCCAAAGCCTGGATGTACACTAATTCTCCCATTTGGAAGCATTTTGTTTTCAGATATTAATTCTGATCCCTGCTTGAGCCATTTCTTCCTGGGGCCATCACTCCATACAGCACTGACCACACTCCTTTGGCTGAATCAAACACTGCTCTTCTCTGTGCTCTGCATCACGGCTCCCTTTGTCCTAGAGGAAAAGACATGCTGTAACCATGATTCCTGCATACCGCCTGTTCTGTCATGGCCCATTAGCAATGCCTCCCTTCTGTTTCTGAGATGCTCTTGCTGCCCACTCATCTCCCCACCCCTCCTCCACCCCATCTGCCTAGAAGCTTCACTTTCTCCCCTCTGCATAACAGCTGCTGGCTCAGACTGACAGGGGCTTTTGGGCTTTTCAACATGCAAATTCACAGAATAGAATGCCAATGAGGCATCTAGTTGTGCACCTGCCTTGAAACATGACCATTCCTGAGCCAGCTACCATGAATAAGATTCCTAATCAATTCATAATATTCAACCAGTCCTTACTGAGCACTGCAGTCTGCCCGGCAATGCTGTAGGTATGGAGAATTCTGTGTAGTCAACAAAATGCAGTTAGCTGTCACTGTCTTATAAGTTTATATTCTAGCATGTAGGGATAGTGGGAGTGAAGGATTGAGAAGTATGTGTGCCACAAGAGAGAGGACAATAGCCAAACAGAAGGTGAAGGTCTGTGTGTGTGTGTGTGTGTGTGTGTGTGTGTGTGTGTGTGTGTGCACGCATGCGTGTATGCGTGTGCACCAATCCTGGTCCTTGAACTCAGGGCTTGGGCAGCACTGTCTCTGAGCTTTTGTGCAGAAGTCTAACACTTGAGTTCCAGCTCTACTTCCAACTTTCTTAGTAGTTAATTGGAGGTAGTTTCATGGACTTTCCTGCCCAGGCTGGCTTTGAACTGTGATACTCAGAGCTCAGCCTCCTCAGTAGCTAGGATTACAGATGTGAGCTACCTGTGCTCAGTGGCATGAGCCACTGGTGCCTGGCAAATCTTGCTCTTTAATTAAAAGCAAATTAATATTTAACTTGCAGGAATACAGTGTATTGGTTTAAAAAATAGAGACTAGCTTAGGAGATGAAAGTAAGTTATTAGCCCAAAAGATTCTAGTAAAAAATACATGGCCTGAGTATGAAGACTTTGCTCAACACATTGCCTACCTGCTCCTCCATTCCCTCTCTACAAAAGCCCTTTGTACTCCAAATAAATCAGTCTTTCCTTCTTTCTTTCTTCCCTTCCTTCCTTCTTTCCTCCTTCCCTCTTTTCTTCCTTCTTTCTCTCTTTCTTTCTTTCCCTCCCTTCCTTCCTCTTCCTTCCTTCCTTCCTTCCTTCCTTCCTTCCTTCCTTCCTTCCTTCCTGCCTGCCTGCCTGCCTTCCTTCCTTCCTGCCTTCTCTTTTTCTTCCCTTTTTGTTGGTGCCAGTACTGTTGCTTGAACTCAGGGCCTGGACATTATCCCTTGGCTTTTTCACTCAACACTGGCATTCTACCACTTGAGCCACAGCTCTACTTCCAACTTTTTGCCGGTAAACAGGAGGTCTCACAAACTTTCATTCATGGTTTGGTTTTTAACTGCAATCCTCAGATCTCATCCTCATGAATAGCTGGGATTTACAGGCGTGAGCTATGAGTTCTGGCTCCAGATAAATCTTTTACTTGTTCCAACAACTTGTTGAAGCACTGGCCTTCAAGAATGGCTAGTAAATGGACTTGGTTTGGTTACAAGACTAAGGCAGAAAGCCAGGCAATGGTGGCTCACACCTGTAATCCTCGCTACTCAGGAGGATGAGATCTAAGGATCTCAGTTCAAAGCTGGCCCAGGCAGGAAAGTCCATGAGACTATTATCTCCAGTTATTCAGCCAAAAGCCAGAGGTGGAGGTTGCTCAAGCAGTAGAGTGCCAACCATGAGCAAGAAAGCTAAGGGTCAGTTTCTAGGCCCTGAGTTCAAGCCCCAGTACTGGTGTATGTGTGTACACACACATACACACATGCACACACCAAGAGATTAGGGAATTAATTGTT